AAATTGCCTCTTGGTTCTGATTAAGAATCAGATCCTTAAACATCTGACACTTACAAAAGTAAGATTACAAAGACCTGAACTAATTTTCACGCATTTTCCCTCTTTAGCAAACAATTCGAACACTTCCAGAATTGCTTTGTGCTGGACACAGGGTGTCGGCCAGACCAGGAGGGAACCACATAGTAAATCTGACACAGTGAGCTGCACTGCTGCTGGTCAGTGTCAGTAAACCCAATGCCATCAGTGGGCAGTAAGAGAAAATGTGTGTTTGACAGTATAGCATTAAGGTTTTTTTTCTGACCAAGCAAAATACCGTAGTGTGAAATTCAATCGTTCTTTGTTTGGCCTTGTCTTGTCAGATAGGTTTTTCCTGGTTTGACCACATGGACTTGTATTCTGGGGCTACTGACGTCAGTTAAACTCCACTGTGCATAAAATGGTTTTGCATAACCAGTGTTTGATAGAGAGTAACTGTCTTGATCACTTGACTTATTGCCTGAGGCCAGAATTACAAGACGTTCAAGGCTGTGTAAAGTACAGTACATCCTTTATTAATTAAAATGTTTCTGGAGCGGGTTTTTTTGTTTCTACTTTACTTCATAACTGCATTTGTATGTGTATAATTCTCCTTTAAACAGTTACAAATTCATGATATTGTTCCTATGAGCTTATTTGTTTTTACAGACACAATGCAAAGCAGAGCAGGCAAGATCACAATACATGGTCTGAACCTTTACATAAACAAAAGAAGGAATTAGACATTTATTTGAAAAAGACCTTTATTGCTATATATTTTGCCTCTTTTTAATGTTCTTTTTTGGCCTTCTCTTGTTTGCTGTGGTACATGTGTTACATTTAGTGTTGCTGCTGTTTCCTATTAATGCAAAGTCAACACTTTATACATCTGTTTCAGATTAAAAGCCTTCCAGCAGTTCAGGGGTTCTCCCCCCTTTCTGGGAGGCTTTTATTGTGATGCGCGTAGAGATTCATTATCAGCAGCTTAACATCAATCATTATAATTAAATAATCAATAAAGCAGTGTTTCTGTTATATACACAGTAACTCAGAGCAGAAGAGAGTATGACATGGTTATGTTGTTGTGTAATGTGTAATGTAGATTATGTTAAATTTACATTGTTTCCTGGCCTTTATTTTAGATTTTAATGTACTAATGTACTCATTAGGGTCCCTGACAGTGTTTTACTATTATATATGATGTTCCATTTTATGCTGTATATGTTTAAGGTTGAGCTATGTGCTGTTCGGTAGTTGAATCTACAGCAAAGCATCATATTCTATAAGATCATGTTTGTAGTGTTGCTGTATAGTGAGAACTGTATATGTTCATGAGCACACAAGAACAGCCCTGTCTCAACTTTGTGGCAATGCATATTTCAGCTATTGCAAGTTCTTTTTTCAACATATAAATGTACATTTTAAGCAACAAATTTGCACTTAGTTACTGTACTTGAGTGAATGTACTTAGTTACATTCCACACGGATACAATGTAACAAAATGCGTGCAACAGAAGTGGGATGGTAGCATACCTAATCTTTGTCGACTGCTGTCAGTCCCTACTGCACAGTGTGTAACTTTGTCCTGACCTTTTGACCTCACCTTCACTCTCTCACCCTGCAACCTCTTTTCCTCTATATCTCCTCTTCCTCCTTTCCCTACTGTCTCTATGTTTGTTTTCCTCCCTCTAACTCTCGACTATCTCCTACCAGTGCATCTGGGCTGAGATGATACTAAATGTTTGTGTTCATTGGTCGGGATGTCCTTGAGAAAAAAAAGTGATGACACTGATGATTAAGAGGCAGCTTAGCTAACACCTGGGGTGTATTAGGACAAATGACCATGAAGCAAAAGTAAGGATGCAGCTGCCTCCATCTTTGTTTTTGTTGCTCCAATAAGCCTGTGCTATATTATCTGTGCTACATTATCTTCCCACATGAGAAAACCGTGAGATACTGGACACTGGGCAGTGATAGGTAGTGGAGGGACGTGGGGAGACAAGGCTCCTGGCTGCTGTTAATGAGGTTCCTCTGAGGTAGACTGGACCTCTCTTTTTCCAGCTCATAGTCTGGGAATGCTGTTTCACTGGGAACGATACTCCTTCATCCATCTGTCCCACACTCGTGCACACTCTTTCTAATGCTCTGTGATCCTATCCTGTACTTATGATATTCATGCGAAAAATATCCTGGATGGAAGTAAAAGACCTACTTCCCCTTTTTGCATCAGCTGGACAACAAAGACCCAGAAGTCTGTGGGAAGAAGCGTGATCCTTAAAAACATGAAGTTCATCGGAGTGATTCCCCAAATGTCTTTTTTCCATTCTCCATATTCCCTGACAACATTAAAGCATAGAAAGATTCAAATTCACTTCTGCTCTTAAATTATGTTCACTCGGCTGCACAGTCTCTAAATACAAACAAGTGGCTTGAGAGGAAAGCACTCAAGTCCTCTGCTGTAGTCCTGTGCCCGAGGGCATATATAATCACAAAGCAGCCAAGAACAGAAATACTAATCTTAAGATCACTTGACAGGTCACTGGCAAAACAACGTCTCGGTTCAGCTCTCTTATTTTGACAAAACTTGTGAATATGAACCGAGATATCCCTCCCATGTTCACTTTTATTTCTCACATTTACATCTCTTCCAAAATGTAACAAAAGTCTACAGCAAGTGTCAAGAGATGCTAGAGTGTGCACGGTTTCCTAAAGTGTTGGGGCTCCCAGAGGAGGTTAAAATGAGTGCCTCGCTCTCTACACAATACAGTCTTAAAAGCGTGCATCACAACCTTTCAGCCGTCCTTATGAAATCTGCAGACCAATTTTGGCAGACCAATTCATTTTAGAGTTGAAAGTAGCCACAGCCTTGGACTCACTCTCAGCAGTCATAAAACACAAGACAGAGGAAAGCAGGGGTAAGAAGGACACAGTCCGCTGGCAATATGGGTTTGGACACCACTTACAAGTTTATTGTGTATAATTTTTTATGTGTGTATCTATCAAAGGATGGCTTTTAAAGCTTTTATGGGGCCTTACTGGATAATGAACTCTGCTCTCATCAGAACTTTAGCAGAGAAAATACATGATGGGAATGTGCGAGAATGACTGTGAAAGTGGGTATGAGTGGCTTTTTTTTCTTGTGTTCTTGTGCTCATTAAGGGACATTGCATGCATTTCCCACATAATGTAGGTACTGTACAACTATCTGGAGTGGCTAAAGCTAAACAGCCTAAGCAAAACCACTCTTCCATATTGCAAAAATGCCACAGATGAATGGTACCTGTGCTTTAAAGGGTGTACGGGGAGTTGTGGGAGGTTATGGAGATTTGTAACACAAATCTCCATAACCTCCCAGAAGTGAGTGCAGATCCATTTATTCCCATGGTGTACAAGAACATCCTCGGTGTGTTCGACTAACACGAAAAGAATAACATTTTGGCTCTGACCTGAATTTTTGTTAGGGGGTAAATTGTATCAAATGTCAACCATGTTGGAATGAAGCAGTTTATAGCAGTAAATTAGATTAGTGCTGCCGGCTGATGTGTGTGGGGAGAAGACTTTGATGTGATTGTGTTGAGCTCTGCATCCCCTAACAGAGTTTCAGCTTTACACAGAGTGCAATGGGGCTGGGGCATGGTCCCCTCCCTTGTGGGTGTAGTCGCTTAAAAATAAACATGTATACATTCCCGTAACACATACTTGCTTGTTTTTACAAGCACTTTGAACAAAACTATAGTTACATAAAGACACGTGCACACACAGAAACACCACAAGCCACAAAGAGATCAAATAATCAGCACTGCCTTTTGGATTGTAGGAAACAGGAGATGTTCTTCAGAGTGTGCGTGAGTGTGACTGGTCTAACTAGTGTGTCATTATGATACCAGCTCCTGGCCTTTGGCTTGGCACAGCAAATCTACGATGGGAGTCAAATTTAAGTTGACTTTGAGCCAGTGCACTCTTCCCAGGGGGTGATTTCATCCCTCAGTATCTTCATCTTGGACAGTGTAGCTATTTCCTCACGTCACAAACTAACCGAGGGGAAGGCTGTGCCTCCATCGCTGTGCTCATGTTGCTCATGAACAGGGAGACTTGGGACTTTTTTGCCTAAGTGCTTGGCAGTTAACAATGCTTGGCTGATTGCGTGCATTATAACATGTCGTGAAATGCTTCAAATGGCTCTGTGTAAAACCCTAGAATTTTATTTTCAAGTGTACCACACACATAGCATCCAAGTCATGACAAAAGAACGCACAAATCAGCTTAAACGTGTTACACAGTATAGTGAAAAACCTGCTGCTGGTGATGAGGGATGTAATGAATTTAGATAGGTACGGCTTAATTGCTTGTGCATGCTGTTTCCTTTGTGTTGCCACCAAAATTGCTTCTACAGCTACCCCACCCTCAAACCTCAGGCGCTTTACTACTTGGATAGTGTTCATAATGTGTTTTATTTTTTTAACTGTTCAGTTAATTGGTATGACCTTTTTGATGAATATTTTATGATATTGTTCCTTCTTCCTATAAACAGCGATCTTGACCCATAAATGGTTTATAAGGGAAAGATGAGTTTGTTTCAGTTAAATGACAGAAACAACAATGTGCTTTCAATATATTGTGTTCTCTTTTTACTGGTGGAAAGTAAGTACAATTTAGAGGTAGGCCTACTTGTACTTATTCACTTTAGTGTTTCCATATTATACTACTTTGTTAGTTGGAAATTTTCACTCCACTACATTTATGTGACAGCTGTAGTTACTTTTTAGATTAAGAGTTTACATAAATAGATTTTGACAATGATTCTTCTGTTCTTTTGCATATGTAGGATTTTGCACGAAGGACATTTTTGTACTTTTTACTACTTTTAACATTGTTGTATTGGTACTTTTACTTCTGTAAAGTATTTTAATACGTCTTCCACAACCTGTTTTACCTAGTCGTTGTGCACTACTTTTTTAAGTTGCAGGTATGTTTCATCACAGCAACAATTAAGAATTATTTCCATAATTTGATTTAGTGATTTTGTTTTTGATTAATCAATTCATGGCCTTTAAAATAAAATGTCAGAAAATTGTAAAGAATCCAAAATAAAATCTGTCCAAAACCCAAAGAAATTCAGTTACATTTAATAATAATTTAAATAATAATTTACAATTATATATAGATAACAGAGAAAAGCTAAAAATCATGCCACTAGGGAAATTGGAACCAGAGAATGTTTGGTATTTCTCTTAAATGAATTACCAAAATAGTTGCTCATTGATTATCAAAGGTCAAATGATCCTATGACTGATGACTATGTTTGTCTGCTTACATGCAGCTCTGAAGAGGTCCTTTGAGGTGGAGGATGTCGACACTCACTCTTCCCCCGGCTCCCGTCGGACAACCAACACCCCTCACCGTAACGCCATGTCTCCCACCAGCATCTACTACCGTGACCTGGGCACTGCTGCCCAGGCCACCAACAACAACAACCTCAACTATACCCAACCCCGCTCCATCATGGGTGGAGGAGGCTCCAGGACCCCCGAGCCTGTGTCGCGCCGTTCCGAGCTATCCATCGACATCTCCTCTTCTTCCAGCAAGCAGGTGGACAACATCACCAGCCCCGCTTCCGCACGCTTTGCGACCAACAGCGCCCTGAAACGCCCTGAAGTCCTGGGCCACTCAAAGACCCCTGAGCTGAGCCACAAGAGGGAGGTCACTTTTGCCAAGACGCCCACTGATTCTCCAGTGATACGTCGCAATGAGGGCAACAATAACAACAATGGCACCAGCCGGACCCCTGAGCAGAATCACGCTCGCAAGTTTGAGCCTCCTAGTCCCGGAGATGTCCGCAAACCTGATATCAGCATCACCAGAGCTCCCCCAGAAAACAACGGACACCACCCAGCAGTGCACCACCCACACCACCCCAACCCTCACCACAACACCATCGTCACCACCTTCCGCTGCTCCTCGCCTAATCATGCTGGACGAAAATCCCCCAACCCTGACAGTAAGTTTCAGTATTCATACTGGACCCTTCAGTCCAACCTACTCGTTCCAGTCATATCCTCACACTGCCACATCCTCTACTCTCTATTACTGAAAACAAATCTAAAAATACAGTCTTAGAGAAACATAAAGGTGCCCTGTGGAGTTGTCTCAGTAAACAGACAAGTTATGTTTACATTCAGTGTTACTTGCCAAAATACATTGTGTGTATCCTTGAGCTCTGACAAACAAACTGGAATAAATGCATTTCCATTATCATAAAACATTTGAAAACCTGATTTTAAAGAGTATTTAAATCCAGCTGTGTTTACATCCATGTTTACTAGTTAGCAGTCTTCTTCTTCCCTGCCTTTACTGGTGCATTGCTATATATCTTGGTGCATTACTCATGCATGTGCATGAGATAAACACACCAGAAAAAGAGAAACAGCTCCATAGTCCTACTAGAGGTTAAAAAAGACACCACAGGAAAGCTTCAAAGTGGCAATCAGTGATCTTTCTTTGGTGACATGTTCAGTTCCCAGTGATTTCTAATCAATCATGTTGGCTAAAGATGGTGATGGTGACCTTCTAATGACCTTCAGTGTATTTCGTTGACGGTTATAGGTGCTACAAAACACACTTCTGACCACCAAGTTAGTTATAAATGACTAAGTAAACACCAAAGATCTGACATCTTATGGTGAAACACTTGTTGTTGCAGTCTACTTTAGGATGATCTTACAGATTACAGTTAAACTGTAGTAAGTTAAACATCCAAACAATGGTGCAAATCTAAGCAATGTGCTGTCTAATAAAAGGCTGTCATACATTTATTATAATGGCCCATCAACTGACAATATTACTGGCTCCAAATGGAACTAGTGTGGTGTTATTTATAATGTGGGAACTATTAAATAACTGGGACCTTTAGGCAGAATGTCAAGGCCAAATTTCCTCCAGATCTTTGTTGGTGATGTAAAAAATCTTTTTTATCACAAACACACAAGAAATAAACTTACTACACTACAAATGTACTTTAACCAGTCACTGAAAAATACATTATATGATGTATTTTCTCTACGATATGGTTGTGTTTGGCATCCATGTTTGTAAGTGGTTTATCTTTGTGTAGATAGTCACACAGGAATGAATAGATCCAATATACAATAAAAAATAGAAATAGTGAAATAATTTCTTAATGTGCTTCGGTACACTGTAGCTCGCTCTTCCATATATTCCTACATTGTAGCTTGGTTGTTTTGGGTGCTTTTGGTTGTTGATGATAATGGATTAGTTTGTGTTTAACTGCTCAAGTGTTTTAACTAAAAGCTTTGATTCTTCTGTTCATACATACGTTCATTTGGATTTCATGTAGAAACCAAACATGATTTTGGCTTGTTGTGTACAAACTGCAGTTAGTTACTCTTTTAGTACAGCAGTGCTTTGGTGCTGGGCTTCAGTTCATCAGCCTGTGTGATTTCTTTAACACGGACTTACCAGTTTGGTGTAACGGTGTCATTAGTGGAAAAGAGATTAAAGTGAGTGTAATAGGCTATCTTAAACTCCAATAAAACTAAATTACATTTTCTTATGTGAGGAGGAAAGGACAACTTGTCACTCTTGGCTGTAAGTATACGTTAACATTTAGGCCCCGCTGGGTAAAAAAATTTCACATTTTCCAGATTACATTTCATCTGGAGTCTGATTCATTAAGGCTTTTTTCTACTGACTTCATGTCTTCCTGCTCCTACTCCACTCGTAACTGACTGGACCAAGTATCAGGTCTCTCAATAATAAAAAAAAGTCAGTAGCAGGAGTGGCTTGTTTGATTAGTCTGATGTCTGTCAGTAATATAAATAACCATGTCCTTGGAGGCCTGTCTGTCAGTAGAAGCAGCAGACTGAATGTCTGTATTTGTGGTAATACATGTCTGTTCTTAATGCAGTATTGGAGCCGGGGCGGTTATGTGATGAAAGGCTAACCTTGGCAGACCCAGAACAGTAATAGTTAAACGGTAATTAGTGCTACAGTCGGAGTAAAACTATATGCAACACAGAAGAATAGTGTGTAGCCCACATGGTTATACAACAACATGCAGAATGCAGTTTTATCTTTATATTTAGTTGTGTAAACTGAAATAAGTGGTACTATAAGCTGTTTGTTTGATTTCAGTTTTCACATTGTAAGCTAAAGGATAAACCTATCCTCAAGATACTGCATCCACAAACACACAACAATACATGTTTATTTTATTTACTCTTATACGCAACCCTACCTATCGTACACATGAGAAAAATATAGATAACATTTTAGGGCATTGTATGAAGCTTAAACCTTTTTGGCAGCAGATCTATGCTGATGAACACAACAATGACATATCATCACCATTTTTGTTGATAGGGTGAACTTAGCAAACAGTTGATTATTTACACAACTAGCAGTTAAGAGCTTTGGTCAGAGTCATATTTTTGGCCACCATGTATTATAAATGTAAGTCCAATATTCTCTCTCTTTTAGTTATTTTTTTATTTATCTCTACCAACTCCTGTGGGATATATCTGGCTCTTTAGCTAATAAATGCTTTAATATGCTCAACAGCTAGTTGATAACTGTGTCTGTCTGTTGTTTGCTGCTGAGCAGGTACTGTTCTGCTGGTTTTTCTTATCTCCTAACAGCTGGCCTGCAGCAGCCAAAAAACACTGAGACTATGAGAGCGGTGAGAGTGAACCAAAACAGTAAAGTTCTGGACCGGATAGCTAAACAAGGAGCTGAAACTTGCTATAAAGTTCCATAAAGCTGAGGAGAGTGGATTGGATAAATCAATCTCCCCATAATACTATCAGCCACTTTGCCAAGTACTTCATATTAAGCTCTTGGTGAAATATAATAATGAGTGTGCTTCCCAGTTGATTTTTTAGGTCATTTAATGTTATATATTCCTGGTTTGTACTTTGTATTGTCTGTAAGATGAAATACTGCACTTTGTCATTTGGCTGATGTTTTGCAGTAAATTTTCCCACAGTATATTTTCCTTGTGCAGTGTCTGTGTCTGTGTCTGTGCTCCACTGTATCATGCTGTACCCATAATGTTTCTGCTTCTTATGACTATAAATTTCTAGTCTGGGTCTGTGCTGAAGGTTTTACATGGCTCTCTCCTAGATCATGGGGGTGGTAGCCACTTATTGGTCCACAGAGAGAGGCCCTAATAGGGGTCTAAATGAAGGGTGACCTGCCTGGAAGGCCCAGGGGCTCTGACTAGGCCCACCCTGTTCTGCTCGAACAAATTATCAAGAAAGCCTGGAAAAAAAAAAAAACATCACAACCATACTTATAATATACTATGAGCCCATGCTGTCACACATTTTACTGTAATGTACCTGTAGCATTGAATACACATTGTTCTCTTGGTATGTGGGATAAAAAGTGGTTTGCACCAATAAAAGTGCTTTTAATCGATTTCTTTCAGTGACGTGAAAAATCGTATGCATAGAGCAGCTGTTGGCAACACTACAAGCAAAGATTATTCAGTCTTTTTTTTATTGTTTTTCCATATTGTTGTCAGCTGTGTTTTTTTTGAGTCTATTAGATAAGCTGCTTTCCTGCCCATTCAGATTTTCCAGGAGGAAATTACATCACACATCATTTGTACACACACACACACACACCAAAAGCAAGTAGAGTATCCTGTGCTTCCTTCCGTGTTCTGTCAGCGTGATTGTTTCCCCCCGCTGTGTGCCCTCACTGCAGTGCGCTTCCTCTCTCAGGGGTCATGTGATCTAAGTCAGTCAGCTTCCCAGCAAATATCCCTCCGTACTTTGATCCAAGCATCACAGAGAGCGAGACACACTGGGGTGTTTATGCAAAAGGTCAGCATGAAAAGGGTTGTGAACACACATACACATACTGTACAGTGAACTGGATGTGTTGGAAGATCACTGATAAGTAAATACGTCATGTTGTGTGGCTTGACGACCTTGGTCGATAGAGGTCACACACAAACACAGACACACTGACACCACCTAACTAGAGCTGAAACAATTAGTTGAATAATCAGTGATATACATATATATATTTGCTGCTAAACTAAAGATCTTTGGTTTTGGGTTGATGGATACACCATTGTGAAAAAGATATGTATTAGATTTTCAATTCAATTCAGTAAATGTGTATAAGTCCATTTTCCATTTGGTATAATGTGAAGACATGAAAATAGAAAAAATATTTCAGTCAGTTTAACTGCTTTAAAGCTTCAAGTGCTGGAAGAAGCAGGTACTGAATATATATGTATGTTATGAATTCAAATTGATGTGATAAGTGCATTGCTGTAGCTCATGCAAGGAAAATGACAAAGAAAAATCTGACCATCAGGTTCACTTCAGGCTAAAGAGACTAAACTCATTCTGATTGGCATCTGGTCCGCTCCTGCGTGTTCAGCCAGACAGGGAACCTTATCTTGACAGGCAGGCCTGCTGTTCATCAATCCATCAAACACTACAGAAAGAGCTTTATCTAACATCTCTAGACAGAAAAGCATAGACCACCTGGAGTCAAAAAATAACAAATTTCTTATCACCTTTCAGACCAGCTTTCAAATACGAGAAACTTTGTTTTACCTGCAGACTCTTTCTGAGCCACATTTGTTTTGTTCATAAAATGCAGGAACTTTGTTGCTAAAGAACGGGGATTAGGAATCGATTACTGTTTGATTAATTGTTTTTTTCTATAAAATGTGAAAAATGGCAATCATTTCCTAAAGTCTTAGGTGATATCATCAAATGTGTTGTTTTGTCTGACCAACAGTCAAAAACTTTGCGTTTGCTAACATAAAAAGAAAAGCATGAAATGCTCACGCTTGAGAAGCAGGAGCCAGTTGATGTTTATTTGCTTTTAACACCAAAGATGGACTTCTGTCTTTTAATGAAAACTCTGGTGAGGTCATTAGACAGAAAGGTTGACCATAAATAGCGTAGTTATCACTGGTATGATGGGACTGGTAGGTTATCATTGGGGTCACATCCA